ATTGTAGAATGAATACAGATTATAACACCAAAACATAAATGTTTTGACTTTTCACCCGTGCCTGGCGAACAATACAAAAGTTACAATGACGTGGCTCACATGCACTCATGTTATTGTACAAAGTAACTTGTCTTGGCTGTGTTTTAGTCAACTAGTATTTTGTAAAATACAGTCACAATTCAATTATTATACATTATATATGTATATAGATTATGGCTATTTTGAAATAAGTTCTTAAAGTTATTTTCCCTAAAACACAGTACAGGAAATAAAGAAGTAAAGCAAACAATTACCTCTTCTAGTTATGACCTTTGTACTCAGTTGCTGCTTGATGTAGGTTGCTAAGCCTTTAAAAATTTTGCACATGGAGGACATGAAACAAAATCTTTTTTTAGGTTTTATTTATACTTTTGAATAACTAAAAATTCATAAATTACTACATCAGTACCACAGAATTCTACTATAATTTATTAAACATAGTAACTAAGCTGTATTTGGGTCTAAAAAATATGAAATTTCGAGCAGACTTAAGACACAACGTACGTCATTGAAATCTTGATTTAAAAAAAAGAAATGATGCTAGGTACATTAGAAAGGTTTAGAAAACCACGAGGGGGGCATTCTGAGCTTCCAATTGGTTATTCATGTCATGTATAGAAGTAAGTGTTTCCAAAAATGGAAAGAGGTGAGCGAGTTGCCATTATGTTTTATTTATTAAATTGGCAATATCTTAACAAATAGAAAAGATAAGACCTTTTTTATTTTATATTCTAGCTTGTCAATATCTGTAATTTGAGTTTCTAATTCGTATGAAACTATAAACTTAGTATTTTGACTTCACAAACATCTAATTTGGATCAGTGCTGCATTCAACATACCACGTGACACACAAAATCGATGTTTATCTGTTTTTTAATATTTACTTTTAAATTAACAAGTTGTGTAATGTATAGTTCTAAAACTTGAATTATAATCTACAGTTTGTTACCAAACTTATGAAATAGCAGTTCAATAAAATCTTGAATGTGAGTCAACAAACAAGATGACATGGCCTTTCACCTGTGACCTGTATCAAAAGGGTTAAGCTACTCTGAACCAACAAATAGTGGGACTGCCTATCACATTATAATACCCTGCCGACTGAAAGGGTAAGCAGGTTTGATATTGGGTTTCAATCCTGCAACATGTCAAGCACCATAATGAATTAGGAATCAATACTGAACTTCAGTTCTTAAATAGCCAATCACAGCAGAGGACAGAGCTAGAAGAACCAATCATCCACTCAGTTGTGAAAATACCAAACTCATGAGTGCATCCTCCATGCAGAAGTCCTCAAGACCCAGTTAAAAACATACGAGGCTTAAGCACTGAAGAAAGAGTAACTTCCTGAGGAAACACTTGTATGACTTGTCTTCTGTAGATAGTATCTTCAGGAGTGCAGAGTATAGGAACCAAGCTCCCACATAGAGATGAGTGGTACCTCCAGAAATGAGATATCTCCAAGCCTCTTAACATTTGTCTGTTGGGAAAGGACCACAGGATGAGGAGCAGGAAAAATGAGGCCCAATGATGCTCGTGAGATTTAGAAACATGGAAAACTAGAGTGAGCAGAGAAGACTGGCAATGAGCTGTCTCAGCTCAAGCTTCTAAAGTATAAGAAATTTCTAAAAATAAAAACTTATTCTCAAAGGAAAAGTGGCAAATGGAGCTCCTGGTGATAAGGCTGAGAAAGTCTAATTCCAGAAAGTAAAGCATCCTAACAAAGTATATCCCAGAAATAAAGAAACCAAGTTAACTGGGCAATTGCTAAAGAAGAAATCCAGATCAGAAAGGAGAACAGGTAGTTGTAAACCTCCCCAGTAAAACTGTTATGATCATGAAGCATATCCTCAAAAAGAAGAGACAATGAGAACAGAAAATAATCTGAATGAATGAGAATATCAGTTGAGGAGAGAGGGGGGGATACAAGAAAGTCCAAGGTGTAAGGCTCATGCAATATGCTTGGCCTTGAAACATCAAAAACCTTAAAAGAAAGAATATCACATACTTAAGATATGAAAGCGACAAAGGACAAGAACAGAATTACCTAATCCTCATCTGCAACAGACAAACCAGAAGCAAAGACAAGTGGTGAGAAGAGCTGCTCAAAATCATCCAAAAACATGATGAAGCAGGAGTCCTTGAGACTTAAAAATGAGATGGAGAATGTAGTTTAGAGCCAACCACCTGGTTTACAAAGGTAGCGACATCAATCACTGTCCATGTATCTCCAGTTGCCACTAAAGGAGAATCAGACTCATGTTAAGAAGTGTCATGAACTCAGAAGGCTGTATGAGATCTGTATTTAATACGATTGATGAAACTGAATTAATTGAAATTATTACTATTAATACTATTGTTTATTATAATTTTTTTGCTGCAGACATAACAAAGATTATTGGATTCTATCCAAACCCTATCAATGGTAAATGGCAAGTGACAATATGTTTGTCATGTAAATGAAACTATACCACAACTCTCCTGACTACTTCTCCCCAAACTTGTTTTCTTTTCATTTTGTATCTAAAGAAATAAATGTTTTTGAGAAAGATAATAATTCTTATTAGAAACTTTAACTGAAAGTATTTTCAATTTAAAAACTAGAATGAACTTTTCTTTACACAAATTGCTCAAAGAGAGTAATGTGCAAGGTTGGGTATAGTCCAACATTGCTTTCACTATACACTAGTGCAGTACACAATATTAGATGATGGTGTGAGAGGTTTTTCAATGGCTTGGAGCATGAATAAAGTTTTTTTGGTAGTATTTCCAACGCACCAGTTAATTGTTCTGTGGAGAGGCAAGTACTGGAACCTGAACTTGTATTTAATTTGTTTCCATCGAACAGTAAGTCCTTTTTGATAAAAGCATTTTTACTGAGGAATACTGGGACATCTCTAACTATAAATTAATCCATTCCTACAGAATTATGTCAATCCAACAGTGCCTACACTATGGCATTTATAAAAGTTGGCAGCTGCCACAGCTATATAGCCACTTAGAGTTAATGCTATGAGGAGAGAATGAAATACAAAAAAAAGTGAGAGTTCACAGACCTACAAAGATGAATGATTACAAGAGAAGTACTGGTATTGTGAGTGGCCTAACTATTCAAACCCAAATCTATAATGGCTGGTGGTGCTGGTGAGATGGAAAGTCACTGAATGCATTGTTTGGCAGCATATCCACAGCCACTCAAAATTAACCATTCTTATGTCCATTGAGACTAGTATGTGGTGTGAAATCAATGTGGCATTACTCAAGGTTTTCTAGCAAGTACACAGGATACTTCACGGTACTGGACTTCACAAGTGGACTGTAGATACTCGGTATGGCTGTGAATGCATGACGTCAGCTTTCATGTGCCTTAAGTATCAAAATTAGGGAGAAGAACAATGAAACATCAGCATGCAGAATGATGAATAAATCTGACGACATTATGTACTTTCAACTTGTAGTGTAGAATTGACTTCATTACATCATAAGTAACTTTACAGTTCTGATTTTCGTAGTTAGTTTATTTTTTTCATCAGAAATTATTACTACTTCGTGTTTACTTCAGTTTGTTTGTTTTTTGAATTTCGCGCAAAGCTACACGAGGGCTATCTGCACTAGCCGTCCCTAATTTAGCAGTGTAAGACTAGAGGGAAGGCAGCTAGTCATCACCACCCACTGCCAACTCTTGGGCTACTCTTTTACCACCGAATAGTAGGACTGACCGTCACATTATAACGCTCCCACGGCTGAAAGAGCGAGCATGTTTGGTGTGACGGGGATTCGAACCCGCGACCCTCAGATTGCGAGTCGAGTGTCTTAACCACTTGACCATGCCCGGCCATTTTTACTTCAGACGATTGAATTTCAGTTGGATGGTAATATGGAGAATGATTTAGATATAACTGACAAAAGTGAGGTTAGTGTACTATAATGTAAGCCTGTTTTAACCATTTTGTACCTGATCTGCTAGAAATAGTAATATGGGATTTTGGGCATTATTAAGCTATATGCCATATGGCTAACGTTTTGGACTAATATTTGGAGTTTGAAGCTTCTATCTACCAAACTGTATAATGGGTATCACCACATACTTGGGACTAGAATCTTATCCAAGAAACAAGATTTCAGCATAATCTTTTATCTGCTATCTCAGCTTAGGATGGATATGATGTTTTGATAATGCATACACCAATGGAATTTTAAACTACATACATTATTCATCATGCCAGTAGTTGTTTTAGGCAAATAACTTCTAGGATCTACCTATAATCTAATCTGAATTAAACTGAAACATTCTTGTACATTTTGGAATATCAATAGAGGACAGAATCCCAATAACAAACAGTAAGAGCAGACTTGCAAGAAGAGTGACAGTCTATTGTACATGATACACACAAGTGGTTGGTAGCAAGTGTTAATAGCAGCTTATAATGTAATTACGATCGAAAGTGGATCAACTATATATATATATAAAAACATATTGATGTTTTTATTGCTGACTGAAGGATGGAAAACATTATGAATGAAGATCACAAACAATTTCAGATAATTGTTTATTCTATTCGACTCAATATTTCTGGTTATGCCTTTTTCAAGGCAACATGAACATCAGTTTTGTAACCTGCGATGTTCCTAAGCCCTTGAAAAAGGCATAAGTTATAACATGAGAAAGAATAAAAAAACCTTACAGAGACAAAACACTTTCTGTCTCAATGTTTTTGGTGATATATATATACATATATTTTAATCCTACACAAAAGATAATCATCATATGATAAATAACATAATCGGTGCCTTGGATTAACTTCTGCTTTCTTGTACTAAAATTGAAATATTTACTTCATTTAAAAGATTGATTATATTTCATTATAATTCATGGTATGCTCTCAGAATATTTCTTTCATTGTAGCAAACAATAATATACAATAACAATTATCACTTTCCAAGCTATATTCAGTTCTTACCTGGATTATTTGTACCTCTCAATGTATGAGATTTAGCTCTCTGGGGATTGTCCTGACAAGAAAAAAATAAATTATGTTATTTTAGTAAATTAAACTCGGTTCATAAAAAATATAATTAAATCATGAAAATTTTTCTTGAGTCTATTTCCAGATCATAAAATAACAACTACAACTAATCATCTACACATCACTTTAAACTGAAAGAAAACTTTTTAACATATTACACAATGACTGAAAATTTTAAAACAGAATATCCTAACTTTGCTTGAGTTGTCACTGAAGATTGTCAACATTACGATAGCTTTAAGATAAAGTATAAAAATAACTATGATTTAATTGTGTTACTGTTACTGAAAATTAGTTCATCTTCAGGGCAGGGAATGACTTAACTCCTTCTTGTGTCTGTTGACTTTCGTCTTTTCAGGGTGACCTTTATTTAGTCATGTTACTGTTTATTTTCCATCATTTTGGTAACTTTAGCCATTTTAAGAAAATGCCATAACTTCTCCACACTGTGACACAAAAGTAGTAACGGCTTTAGTTTTTCTGGATGCAACTCAATAGAACCAGTAAGTCAATATTTCATGAGATGCTAAAACAATACCAATTTCTGCTGTAAGTGTTTAGAAAAGTTACTTTTTAATTCAAACTGAATATGCGTAAACATAAAGTAAGTATGTATAATTTTAGCAAATAAACGATTTCTAATGTATTAAATCTTTCCTTTAACCGTTCAAATAACTGCAGTTTTCATTAAGGTAAAATCAAAACCAGATAAATGGCTCATACGAAGAAACTGCTAAACTTGGATCGATGAGTTGGTTTGATTGTTGGTAAGCTTAAAGCTATATAATGCTCTGTCCACCACATGTATCGAAACCTGTATTTTAGCATTGTAAGCCTGTAGACTTACTGCTAAATTGGGATTGAAGAAAAAGTATATTAAAAATTTATGTTATAAAATACCAGTCTCAGCAGTATGTAAATATAAAACCCCAGCCTCTCTTTCTTCAATAACACTAATGATTTATTAACGGTTTATTCAAAACCACTTACTGATGGAAAGGGAAGTTCTACTTTCACATACGAATCAAGATCATCTGGTTTACCTGAAAGATATGTTTTGATACAATAATTCGTAATCATGAATGCAAATATTCTACATCTTATTAATGACTATCAAATGTTTATGTGTTTAATGCTTCTCCTTCATAACATTTACACGTGTGACTGAGGAGATTCTGAATTCTTGATAACTTAATCGAGATTTAAGTTTATCTAAAACTTATATGTAGATGAATTAACTCTTTTGTATGGGGTCGAGCAATGTTACCAACCTTGTAACCACAAAGTAACCACCAGTTTCCATACTACAATGTTTAATTTGCTTTATGAACCTTCACAAAATTTGGCAAGCTTTTGGTAAACATTACAAGTCTTTTGAACAAGAAAAATCAAATTTTTCGATTAAGTATTTTTACTAAAGATTTTACCTTGAAAATATAGAATCAGAGTCCAAATTGATTTTCACGTTAAAATTTAAAATACTTTTCTTCATCTGAAAAATTTCAAATTTCGTTTGTGTAACCTCTAAAACCTAAATAAATATCAATTTTTTTATTATTATAATAAACAATTAAAAACAATGTTTTATATTCACACAATAAAAACTTTATTGAAGCCGTATGGCTTCCACTTTAAAATATCTCTCTACAAGTACATGTTTCGATGTGATCTACATAGATCAAGTGAGTGTGACAAAAATAAACAACAAAACAATAAACAAAATAAAAAAACAAATACTGCCAAGTTATTGATTGATTGACTGGTTTTAAATGTTTACACAGTATGGTCACTTCTTACTATTTTAAACATTTACAGAGAATGGTCAGTTACTACTTTTTACAAATACAAACATGCCTGCACTGGTATTTTAAACATTTATAAAGTACGGCTACTTCATACCATGTTGAAAGTACAAATATAGACACATTGGTATTTAAATGTTTACAGAGTATGGTTACATCATTCTATGTTGAAAGTACAAACAAATGTACACTGGTATTTAAATGTTTACTTCCTACCATGTTTAAACATCACACTGGTATCTACATTTTTTAGGGATATAGTTACTTACTAAAACATTAGATTAAAAGTATAGAAAATCATGAAGTTATGTTTTAACTGTTCAAAAGGAATAGCCACTTTCTATTGTGTTGACATATACAGACAAAACTACACTGTTCTTTCTGGTGTTCAGCCAGTTTCCTTGTGGTAACTATGAAAATAAAGCTATAAAGATATTTAAACTGGATGGCATTATCTTGTACTTCTGAAATGGGTAAAAACCAAAACAGCACCATTAGTTTAAATTAACTAGCATAGTGACATTATGCTGGACAGAATTATTTTACATGTGATGTTACTATGGAGTAAGAGCTTTTCAATACAAGCTGGTATAATAAACAAACATAAGCATAAGAAAACTTTACACTGATATCAAAACATTTTAACACCAGACTAATAGATAAAAATAAACCTGATGCAGTTATTTCCTTATGGTAAATTTATATTTTGATGTTAGGGCGAGACCCTGGAAGCTAAAGGATGGTGCCTCATTGGTGGGTTGCCAGGTGAATGGAAATCAAAGAAAGCCACCTGAGGGTTATATAACTGTTAGGCAAGAACATCATAGTCAAATGAAGTACCACTCCCCAACAGATGTTGTACGCTGCCAGAGAGTATGTTCCTAGGAGATGTCACGTGACATCACAGATTGAGTGTTATTCAACAGTGTGTGTGTTGTTAGGAGTTATAGTTCCACAATGTGGAATCAGAGGATATGTTGTTAGGGGAGGAAGTGACATCATAGTTTAATATCAGAGAGTCTGTTACTATATGTGGACAGTGTTACCAAGGCTGGTGGGGAAGTAGATTAACATGTCATCAACATTATAGTAACAATCAAAGTCTTAAAACTAATATTTTATCTATGATGAAACTTTGCTGAATGGACGGTAACTGCCTGTTGTTGAAACACAAGTGTAGAGGCCAATGTTTCGAACTACTTCTTCCTTTCGTCTTCAGGTCAGTGTGTGTAAGGTGAATTCAGTCTTTATAATATTCTGGTGGATTGTGGAGAATGTGTTATGATTGGTTGGTTTATCCCTGTTTCTGACTGGAGGAGAGATTTCCTGTAGATTCAACAAATGGTAGTCACAGGTTACTCACCTCTAATCCGGGATCTCTGTTTAATGAAGGTTTAATTGTGTTAATATAAAATGATTCTTTAATTTTTTTTGTCTTCCAAAATTTGTCTATGTCAATGATTCTAGTTTATTCCCAGTTTATTTTGTGTCCAGTTGACACGGTGTTGTCTGCAATGGCTAAATTTTGTGTTTTCATGAGTGTTGTACTGTCTTTATGTTCTTCTATTCTTGTTGCAGTGATGATAACAAAAACCTTGTTGAAACATTATACATTTGCTGTTATGTTAAACTTATATTAAAGTTTTTCTTCATTACCCATTCAAGCCGTCTCCAAGCATTATTAGCATAAGAATATATATAATCCGTAAAGCCAAACTCGTAAAATGTGTATTAAGTGAAACAGTAAGGTTGTATGTTAAACTACTGCATGATATTTAAAGATGTCATCAAGAAACGTCCATCTTTTTTCAGGACAGACATTTGTAAAAGTATGCTATGAAATAAATTAAATACTATTAATTAATTGATCATCCTACAAACTGTGGTAACATTGTCATTTGTAGCATCATCTGCCTGTAGTAACAACATCCTACAAACTATTTTGTCAAGAACTCGTTTTAAGGTTATACACAATATATAGAAATATAATTAATAAAACATAAATAGTTTTACTTCTAAACATATATGTTGATGACATGTTGAGATATCCTACGATGAGCTCATCATCTTATTGAACTATCCTCCTATAAAAATGCTACCCTTAGTAACACTACTTGCCTATAGAAACACTGCCCACCTGTTTAAAAGTATTTAATGTTTTACTTATAAAGCAAAACTTTAATTGTGATAATAGAACATTCTAGTATAGATAACTGTAAACATAACATTAGATAAAAATATTAGTTTTAAGACTTTGATTGTTACTAAAGTTGATGACATGCTGATCTACATCCCTCACCAACCTTGATAACACTGTCCACCTATAGCAACAGACCCTCTGGTATCAAACTATGATGTCATCCTCTTCCTCTAACAACATACCACTTTGTACCAATTCGTTGTATTACCTCTGGTGCTTATTACATAAGAATTATGCAACACTAAGGTGTATACGTTGCATAACAACTATGTACCCCTAAGGTGTATAGATCAAGCAATAGTTACTCAACCCTCATGTGGCATCCTTTGATTTCCAAAAACTCGCCTTGTGACCCCCCAGTGAGGGGGCATCCTTTGCAAAACAGCTGGAGTGTAGTAATTGAACAAAAAGTTTCTACAGTACCTGGAAGGTTAACTCCCCTGATAACATCAACTTCCAAGTCATTGTCTGCTAAGTCTGTGTTGCATCTATGAAAGATAATGTTCAACATTTCATTACAAGTTGTTTTTTTTAAATCATAATATACAGGGTGGCCCCAAAAAATGTACCCATCCTTTAAGTTATGCTACTTCTGTATATTGATTCTAAGCGTTTTATCATTATTTCAGATAATACTGGATGATGTCTAAAACCCAAAATTACTGATGAATTAAAGCAACAAATCATAAATGCCTTCCATCAAGTTAGAGTTGAAAATTGTGTAACAGCATGTCAGGCACTCTGTCATAGATGTCATGATTGTTTGAATGCTGGTGGAGCCGAGTTTAAGCATCTCAAATGATGCAGCAGGGTATGTACAGTTAATTTGTTGTATGAAATATTAATAAAGACTAGCGTATAAACCATCCAAAATGACAGGGCAAGTACTACCACCCCCACCCCATAGTATACCCTAACCTCACATTTCATAGCTGAAATAAATATATTTTTTGAAATCAAGCTTGACCAACAAAGAGGCAGCAAAGTGCAAGTCAAGACAGTCAAACACTGGTAAATTCCTTTGTGAGCCAATCAAAATTAAGATCATTCATGAAATAAGTTCATGGAATATTCATAGAATAATTATTAAAATCAATTAGATTAACAACTTCTAATATATAGAAAATCCAGTGCATTTTGGTAACACTACATTCCAACAATGGCTTTTATATCATGCTGCTTAGCAACAAAAGTATTACCAAATATTGTTGTTAATCCATGCACTGAAAGTATAAAATGAAATGTATAGACAACAAGAATGGAAAAATATTTGTTGATTTCTTAATTTAGTCTCCGTTGATTAAAGAGGTTTGTTTTTTATTTATAATGTTGGGGATATAATAGACAATAGCTTAATTCAGAAATGATTTAAATTTAAAATTGAATTCATATTTTGACTTTCATGATAAATTTTATGCACTTGGCTCTAGGCTAGGTGATCCCACATTACGTATTGACTTTAGGCTTACTATACCAACACTCACTATACTTATAAGGTTTCAGGGCATCACCACTCCCTCATTGTTCCCTTGCACCCCATCACTAAAACCATAATGGGCAGAACTATTCTATCTGGATAAATGAATTTTGGCTTTTATAACTCCTCCTATTTCAAGAAATCAAGCATGATGTGGCATAATACACACTGGCTTTTATATATATTAGATGTTTTGGTGGCTTCTAGATTCATTTACTATAGTCATACGAGCATTTGAAATTTGAGTAAGTATTTTTGGGCCACACTGTATTTAATACCTATCACTACTGAATATAAAGCCAAGGATCAACAACTTTCTTCTGTTAGGTAAAGTTTTAGCACTGAACACACTTTTTCTTTTCCTACATGAGAATGAAAGTACTAAACAATATTCTAGATCAGTGGTTCCCAAACTTTTCATTATCAAGGACCCCTTATATTATTTTTTTACCCAAAGAACCCATGATTTTGAAATATTCCATCTACCTAACAAACTCTTTTTATTAACTAATAATTAACTCGTTTTCCAATTTTTCACTATCAAATAAAAGACATATATAACTGAATATGCAATTAAAAAACCAGCAGTATTAAAAACTTGCTTGTTTAATGAGATGGTTGATGTTACTTTATTGATACTATGTTGCGTATTTCAGGTTCAAGTTTTAAGTGTAGATCAGTTTCCACATTCTTGTGGTTTCTGTACTTTTATTTTATATAAAACAGCCAGGAGAAAGCCTGCTCACATAAATATGTAGCTGGGAATGACATTAAGTACTTCAATGCTTTGGATGTCAGTTCAAGGTACTCGGTTTTTTTCACAAGCAACCAATAGTCTGATATGTTGTACTGAATGAAATTTGACCTCAATGAGGTGTCAACAAGACTATTTTCTTCACTTTTACATGAAATAGATCAATAATCCACTTGTTATTGGCATCAGGAAGAGGAAAATAATCCCTAAAGCTGTTCTTCAAACTCTGCAAGTACAAAATGATAAGTTTCCTTATTTCTTGAGAGAGGTCATCATCGGATACTGTAAGAAAATAATTGAGTGTTGGAAACGATTCAAATACACCCTTCTGAAGCCGTTCTGAACAACTAATCAACATTAAATATACGGAAATTTAAAGGATGAGCTTTAATAAAATTAACCACTTTCGCTGTCTCATCCAATATAGTCTTCAATTGTCTGCTGTCTTTCTTGTTGCCAGTGATTCTTTATGTATGCAGCAATGAGTCCATTGTGCTTTCCTGACATAGCAGGAGCCACACCATTACACATTTTGACCACCCAATTTCATTTGCAATTATGAAATCATTCAAACTATTAAAAATAGTCTCACCAGTAGTATGCGTTTACAATATCCGGCAGAACAGAAAATCTTTACTAATTTTACCATCCAATTCATACCGTATCAATGCAACAAACTCGGCACTGTTAGAAACATCTGTACTTTCATTTAATTGCAAAGAATAATATTAACTTTTTTAACTAGCTGGTTTTTAACATTATCAGACAGGTCTTTGGTTTGCCACTTCACAGTGATGTTTGATAATGACATCAAATTATAATTTTTTTGCTACTTTCTCTCCTAGATGTCATTGTTTTAGCAGCCGGTAGAATTGGTTCCTCAGCTATTGTATGTGGTTATCCAGTCTTTGTTATTAATAGGGACACTTCATACAAAGCAAACAGCATTTTTCATTATTACAGCCAGTCGCTATTTTTCCCACTGATTTTTGTCTCCAATGAAAATATTTGGCAGGTTTGTTGACGCGTTCTTTATGTTTTGTTTCAAGATGCCAACGAAGGTTGGCTGGCTTCATACTTTCACTGGATAATGTTTCATAACAGAGAACACACTGTGGGTTTTTTTTTTGTTTATGTTCAGGACTTGTGTATATAAATCCAAAGAACATATATTCCTCACAATATTTAAGATTTTTGCATTTTGATTGATGAGTCAGTGTTTTTTCATTTGAACATGTTGCATCTTCATCTGTGTTATCACTATTTTTCTATTTTAATGTTGATGCAGATTTTAACCACCAATCCATATCAAATGACAAAAATTCCTGTCACAGATGTGATGCAAATGAGCAGTAAATTTAAGTAAATTTACAAACACTTAAGCACAATTCACTGCTCTGGTCACTTAACTCTCTCAGTACGGGCAGGTCAAAATGTTCATATCACAATGTTTTAGTGAGTTTCATTCAAAATTTAATTAAACTGCTTAATTATCATGGTATACAAACAAACTTGATATATAAATATTGATAATAAATCAACTTTTAAAATTATTAATGTTCTTAATTTTATTAAGAAATAGTTAAAAACAACCTCAAACTTCCTTAGTGTGAGAATTGTGACTCTTATTCTCTAGTCATTGCCTCTTTTATAATTTATTTACCACCCCTCTGAGAACTATAAAGTCTGACATAAAATGTTCTCTGTAATTTCATCATAGGTTAAGCGAAACAATATTTTTATATCTTTCAATATTACATGCCTAAAGACTAATCAAATATAAATTTAGATCACTCTTGTCACATACTCTGATTCACAATTTGCTAATAGATTTTTCTGACATTGATTTCCACTAAATTTATAACCAATAGAAAGCCTAAATTTTAATTGATTGATTGCCATATTCATTTTACCAGTTCGTTATACAGATAATTGACCTTTTGGGTTCACGAGAAAAAAATGTCTTCCCACAAGAATGCATTGAGGAGCTTAGTTGAATTTTTAATGGTTTTTCTCACATACTTATAGAACCAGAAAAATTGTGAGTTATAGAACAGTCTCAGCTTTTTGCGTGTTATTATTCTGTGTCATTTAATTAAAGAAAATAGCGCAAGAACCCACAGTATTACCTTCGTGGACCACCAGGGATCCCAGGTTGGGAACTACTGTTCAAGATGCCCCAAAATAATTTACTTCACGAATTTTATTACATTTTATTCTATTACCATTGGAAATCAACAAAATATGACAGGAATAATAAACCATTGAAAAACTCTCATTTTCAGTGGAATATGTTGGCTTTTTGACAAATATCTTTTACGGACTTATTTGGAATCCATGTTATAGATAGAAAAGAACTAATCCCCTCATAATTAATTAGTTAATTTCTGTTAATTTTCTCCCAATTTAATAGCTCCTTTTATCACCTACTATCTAATTTTTATTGCTTCTTAATAATATATTTAATCTTTTCTTCTATCAACTTTATTTTTTACATTTTTTTCATCCCTCTAAACCAGTGTCTTTGTCTATCAGTTGTTTTTCATTCCCTTGTTTCTCTCCTATCAGATTGCTGATTGTATTTTTTGTCTTCCTATAACCTAGTTTTAATTTATTTTGTTCCCTAAGAGCTATTTTAATTTTTCATCAAGTTTTTCTCATAAGAGTTAGCTTCTTTTCATTTGGTTTCCTACTTTGGTTTTTTCTTTCTCTCCTACTATTGTATATTTTGGCCTCCTACCAGCTAGTTTCTTAAATACTGATCAGAAATGTTTTTAGTTTTTGTATTCTATAAGATATTATTTTAGTACTGTACAGCTAGTTTTTCTTTCTTAACTTGTAATTTATTTATTGAAACCTTTTCATACCAGTGTTATTTGTTTGTTTTTTATTCTCTTCCAACTTTTGGTAACAAATTTCTTCTTGTTTTATTTTTTTTAGAAGTTACTTATAAATTATATAATTTCTCCTAATTTCTTTGTTTTTGTAATCAGTTTTGATTTCTTTCATTTCTCTATACCAATTTATTTGTATATTTTAAATGCTGTTGTCTCATCATGCTTCCATAAAACAACACAACATTTACACACACATACAATTGGATGTTAAGTAAGTCAAACAAAAACTTCACTGGAAACTACACCATGAAAGTTTTTCAGTTCACCCCCCCCCCCAAAAAAATGGTGGTAAGATAATCAAAAATTTATTTACTGAGTAACTTTACATGTCATTTATCTAGTTTCTTGATTCTACAAAAAAGAAAATGAACCTTATTATTCATTGCTAGAAAATATTACATCATTTAATATTCAAAGTTATAATCCAAGATAAAAAGCTATGGCATCAGTTATTATCAAACCAGTCAGCATGGATTCATTTCCTTGTAACATTATATTTCTGGGTAAGAAAATTGATTACAATATTATGATTGATAATAATGTTAACTAATTCTCATGTTTATTTTTAATGGTTTTTACCTATGTTTCAAAACCTGCGAGTTTATTTGACAGACTATAAGGGATAACACGTCACACTGATATACTTTTAGATGTCAAGATATATAACAATACAAACTTACTGGATGATAGAAAAGATGCGTGTCTCATAGTGAAACCTAGGTAACGGATCCAATCTCTTCCACATGGTCTGGATGACATCTAGGTCTTTACGAGTATGCTGGGCTTGGGTTTCGAACCTGAAAATGGAGGAAGAAGTAGGAATATAGATAAAACTAAAGATCTGGAGAACAGTCTTGAGCAAGTTTTGCTGCTGTCACGAACTAAAACTTACAACTTTTAAACTAGAGTACTTAATATAGTGGATGAAGTATAAACTAGAGTACTTAATATAGTGGATGAAGTATAAACTAGGGTACTTAATATAGTGGATGAAGTATAAACTAGAGTACTTAATAAAGTGGATGAAGTATAAGCTAGAGTACTTAATATAGTGGATGAAGTATAAAGCTAGTTTATACTTCATCCACTATATTAAGTACTCTAATCCACTATATTAAGTACTGAAGTATAAACTAGAGTACTTAATATCGTGGATGAAGTATAAAATAAAAAAGAGGTTTCTTGGTAAACAAAGCAAAAAATATTGTAAAATTTCGTTGTCAAATAAGCAATACAGTAAACATACTAAACTAAAAAGAATCTGCATTAAAATGTTCATATCGATTAAATAATTAACTTACTGAACACTATACTGAAAACTGAAATTCCCTAGATGAAAATCATGCCCTTGTGGAGGAATAGTTTGTTTCAGAAATTTTTTCAAAGGTACAAAGAGTTATCTTTGCATAACTGTTCTTAATTATAAACTGACAGACTAGAGGGAAGACAGGTAGTCAACAGCATCAACCATCAATTTTTGGACTGCTCTTGTTTGAATGAATAATGGAATTTGACCATCCCTCTTACATTACACCCATGACTCTAAAGTGCATAGCATATTTTTGCAGGTTTGTAGTCTGGGCACGTTAACCACTATCAAGATATGTGTGTTGCAAAGCAAAAATCTCTGAAAGGGTTACATAGGGGAGTTTGGAGGTTTCTCCCCAGGAAAATTTTGGGGCCAAAAGATGCATTGTGTTTCGTAGCAAAACCATACAGTGTACCACAATTTTATGTATCTTAACCCTAGTTAAAAGGCATCAATACGGTGTAATTATATTCAAATTAAAAAAAGAACAATGGAATCTTACTTCCTGGCCTTTGGGTGATAATAAAGTTAACAGTATACCAGTACACCAAAATCAAAACAATATTCAAAAATTTGAGTAATTACCAAAACCATACAACACAAGTATTCTTTTTCAGAGGCTTCCAGTCAATAATCATGTCAATAATATTTCTATTCTTTTAAATTATTTTCAGCCCTAAAACAAATAAGAACCTCTTATTTCAGAACTATAAAAGGAAAAGTAAGTATGGTAAATAATAAATACTGTTTAATAATATCCAAGACAAATTGTTCTAATGATTGACAATGTCTTTTCTAGAGATCGTAGGCGCATCATGTAGAGCTACATATATTTACTTGACAATGTGATTAACAATAAAAATGGCTGGAGCAATGATCAAGAATTGGTTTTTGAAATATTATTTACTACAGACAATCATCTGGAATTAAAAAAATATTAGTACTTTTAGCTCTTAATCTAGAAAATAAATAAAAAATTAATCATGACAATTAAACAATTTCTTGAATTCGGCATTAAGTTCTAACAAAATTTCTCTGTTTCACTATATGCAGTATATGCTAGTATGTTCACCACATAAATATACATTCAATAACCATCTACAAACTACAAAACTAATAATGAAATATCAGTCTTCTATGTCATATCAAATAAATAAACTAAAAACTTGAAAAGCTTAAAGGCAAAGCCAAAGTTTTGGTTTCTATTTAAAAATTTAAACAAATATATAACAGTAACTAGTAGCTTTTCTTTTTTATATCAGAAGATATGAAGAATGTACACGATCTTACATAAAATTCTGGAGAAACCTGGCATATTCAGTGTTCACTTGCCTCTGCATCAGTTTATGCCTAATACAAGGTTAATTCCCGGCCTGTTAAGTAACTTAATGTTAACTAATCAAGCCCAAGGTTAGATTCATGTTCTTCGAAATATTACACACCAACTTTCACATAAGAGATTGTTCCAATAACATCAAACCAAACATTATATGTGACAGATGAAATTGATTTAGAGAAACAAGTTAAATCCTTATCTTAATTAGAAATAGCTTTTAGAACTACACAAATAAAATATTTATATAATCCATAAGTAAGCCTAAATATAACCACAAACTGAGAAATGACAAATTAGACATCTAGTTATTGTTTTTATTCAATATGTTTTAATGTACATCTTCTTCCTAAACATAAATTATTCCTAAACAAAATAAATATTACTTTCAGATCTTTATCTCATGGTAAACTAAGTCATGTGATTTTAGTAGTTTTTGTAGAACAAAATACAGCAGTAGTTTCATACTATATCAAATCTTTCAGCTAAATTACAGCACATAAAAAATTAAACATGTTATTTATAATACAAATTCTCTACAGCTTTCTATGTAAAAACTTTAAGAGTTTGATATATTTGAAAAAAAGTTATATAATAACCATTGTCAGTCACTGTTACACTGGTACTTGATGTTATAATTTTATTCTGATACTGGAGTAAAAACCTATTACAGGTTCTTATAAATCAAGGTTTTAGAACACTTTGAAAGAATTATCATGCATGAGAAGAATATTTTGAATAGTTTTTTGTCAAACAAGAATCATACCAAAATGTTGACATATGATACAAAGGTCATGTATTACTCAATTTAGTTTACTGTGCTCCAGATATTAGTTGAACAGAACAGATGACATTTGATTTGTCAGTTACTAAAACATCTTTTGAAATCTGACACTCAAAAATGCAACTGAAGAGTTGTGAGCAAACTTAAGAAACTGGCATTGGCCTTGGAAAACTAAAGAGTAGTACAATAGAACTACCACAAAAGACAAGAACAATGTTGTTAAAAAAGAATCAGCAACCCAAATTCAAAAGCTTTATTATGCAGGAAATAAGAGTTTAAAGTGAACTACTTAAATTACAGGTTAAACTATGCAGTCAGCTGTTGCACATAAGAGAGTGACATTCTTTGACTTGATTCAAAGTATATTCAATTATTTTTCTGCTTCAACTGATACCTCAGAATAATTGCTATGTTTCCTAGTTAACTATAGAGCTATTGAACGGCATGCTGGTGCTGTACACCTACTGAGAGATGTTTACAAGGTCTGATTTAAAGAAGAGACAGGATCATTCAGAAGTGAGAGCAACTGTTGGCAGGATGATAAGTTTAAATTTTGTAATATGGTATGATTCGCTGTACAAGGTGAACTTTGCCAGCAAGCAGCTGGTAATTAGCGATCTTAAAATGTTTCCAGCTATTCTATAAATACAAAAACCAAAAGCTTTCCTACATTTTGAAAAGATTGGTGAATACCAGAGAGTTTGGGAAAGAAATGGAAATCATTTAAAAATTGTCACAAAACAGCAGAAACAAAAAAAAAAATATTTGTGATGTGCCTATCCTGGATTAAGCAAAGTTTCTAATATGGTTACTTTTGACACGATTGTTAATCTAACGGAGAAATGTCAGCACCTACAGGAATACAACTCATTGTTAAGCTCCCTGTGCTGGATTCCTTACTTATCAATTTTGTGCTCATGAAACTTTTCAAATCACTGTGCGAACTGGTTTATCAGTAGAGAGGCAATTGGTGACAATGGTACAAAAGTGCGTGACAAATTGTAAACATTATTTGTTGAAAAGCTGAACTTAATGAGAGACAATTTAAACACTTATCTAGAATGGTACATAACTAGTGCATGGTCTGGTTTTTGATTTAATTATAACATGTACTTGTGTACATATATTTAAATTTATCAATTTCACCTGCTGGTTACGTAATCTGATTAGCACAAACTGATTAGAAATTTTTGATCCCACAATTCTCAAGTCTACCCACAATTATCATCTTGTTTTAATCATGCATGGAGACTACATGAACAAGATATTGAATCCGTGCTCCGTTCTAACGGAACAAATCATGTTGTTAAAAATCTTTCAGCATTCCCAGATCAGTGGTTTCATATTTCTTGTTCTTTTCAAAGGAGTGGCAATAGAAAAATAGGCAACAACTGCGCTTATTGTACCAAAATTTGTTTGTTTGTTGTTAAGCACAAAGCTAAGCAATGAGCTATCTATGCGTTGCCCACTGGTAGAAGTTATATCAAAAGGTTACTAATCAGATAATATTAGAATATATAAATGCATGTATACAATTAAAAGATGTTTCTGTTAAAGATTATTAATGTTACCACAGTACTCATACTATAGGCCAAGTATATAAAAGTTGCAGTACTGTGTTATTTCTAGTGCACCAAAATGCTGCCCTTTACAATCTTTTGAAAGTAACTATAATGGTGTAGATGATGAGGAATTATAAAGCTTAATATAATAATCTGTTAAACACGATATACCACAGCTTTAGAACTTTTGTGTTAAGGAAACTCTAAGCCTAAGTGTATGAAGCTTATGTAGACATGCAAAGCTTGTCAAATGGAAATGACCAGTTACACTGGAGTATAAAACAAGTTGTACAGATGATATCAAATAGATATAATATTATCATTGAAAAGTATTATAGTTATGTAGTAACAGTGTGTGTGGTAAAAATAAGGGACTATGTGATTTAGAATAACACAACTGTATGTATCAGATAAAAAAAACAGAACGTATTTCATTATCACTACCCATTTTTGTCAAACGTAAGTCCACATGATACAAACTTGACAGATATTCCATACAGAAAAAACTTGCATAAATATATTATCATCAATATATTGTAAATTGATAAATAACTGTTGAAAGCTTCAGTATTAAAGCTGTAGTTAACACTTGTCACTCTAGACACTTAGAAAAGATCAATAGATTGCAGAATATCTCAAGTTCAATGATGTTTTGGACTTATTTGTCTAAAAGTTTTCTCTATACAGAGCTTGGAAGTTAACATTCTCCTAAACTGAAAATGTATGTCCAATAATGCTTACCTTCTCTCCCACTTATAGCTATTACTTGACCACCAGGGTTTCTTCCTTTGCCCATCTAAGCATTGGTGTCATTTTTTCTCACTTACTCAAGTCTTTTACACTCCACTCAATTGCCCTTGGCAATTGAAAAAAAATAGCATGACTCTGTAACAAACCCCAAGCTAAGATAGCCTTAGAACTAAGTTCCAAGATAGAAACCCTACAGGTTGGGTGGATAATAGTGATGAAGATGTGAATTGAATTACTAATTGTAACTCAAGGACCTGCAGCACTCCTGGACCCATAATTAAGGTTACCAGATGTCCAGAAATTCTTGGAACTAAGCCCCCAAAACCCCTCAAAGTATACAAGAATCACTGATGCCACTGGTGATATGACCAATCAGTGGAAACCTTGGACAGAATCTTTTCTAGGTACCAATATATGAAGGGGTTGATGTCGGGACTCACGAGCAGGGTCAGAACCACGACCTCCTGTAGGAGCCAATGAAATTTGTGACTCCAACAACAACAGGGAGGAATGTAGAAGTCAAAAGTTGAACCAATGTGCATGCTAACAATGGATCCAGCTTGTCATCAGTGAAGTTGGTGATCCTGAGAGTCTTCTAACAAAGTGAAGTGAAATGAAAAAAAATATTGAACTTTAGATTTGCAAGTGTGTAGACTAACTATGCCCCATCAGGGGACATTAAACTATTCAGGTGAACTACAAACTCTGCCTTAGAACCCTGAAATTCAAGGAGTACATGAATTATTTGAGAGTCGGAAAATGCCTCCACCTAGTGGTGGTTGGCTAAATCACGAAGTTCTGATAATTTATTGGATAAGGTCTAATTGTCCCTTCACGTAACTGAGAAGTAAACCTTCCAGCATGAACCACAATATCTGTGTATAGAGAAAAAAACTAAAACTTTGCGACCAGATCTTTCAGCCATCAAGTAAGGTGCAGGTTCAAAAACAACTGAGAAAAGGCCTATAACATCACCCACTTAAAGAACCAACAGAAGAAAAGAAAATCAAAGGCAGCTTATTCCAAAGAGGACTCCTTTTCGTTTTTCGGAGGTCATTTAAAGAGTGTGTTGATTACCGTTGATTGGAACAGCATTTTGCGAGGTAAAAAAAAGTGGTTTTTAGTGCAAAGCAGCATTGGGCCATCTGCCGTGGCCACAGTAGGGATTTGAATCCTAGACTCTATTGTTTCCGTAAATGTACCACTGTTCTACAGATAGACTGAAAATCCAACAGCCTAAAAGAAGGCACAGTAAAAAGTGAATCAAAAGTTTCTCCAAAATGTCAAGGATTGCCTTTTGCAGTCTCAGAGCCCCGTGGAGGACTGCGACAGATCCAAAATAAATGTCTCCATCTCACTACGAATAAGGTCACTGACATTCTCAATGGAGAGTGACCCTCCCCCATGATGATTGTGTGACTAGATATCAGAGGTGGGATAGGAGAAACCTGATTTGTCTCCATGCCAGAAATAATAATCTGGAAATTCATCCCGTAAATCAGCTTGCCAATCTGAAGAAAATAGATTGTTTTTTTAAAAATATTATTATTATGAAAATCAACTAGGTAATACGATAATGTTCAAAGTATCTCCAAACAATTATATTGGGAAAAATATTGGGAAACCCTATGTGCTGCTTTGTCGCGAAAAAGTGATAATATTATTTGAATGAGATGTTTATATATAGCACCAGGATAGACTGGATCAAGCAATAAAAAGTCAGACTAATGCTTAGATGGGCAAAGGAAGAAACCCTGGCAGTTGCGTATGTAGGTATATAAGTGTTTAGGTTAATTAATTTAGGTTGTTCGTTTAGAAAAATGGTTTGTTTCTTTTGTGCAGCAAAGGATGATAGTGTTAGATTTGTTTTCGCAGCAAAGAATGATAGTTTTAGGTTTGTTTGTGCAGTAAAGAATGATAGTTTTAGATTTGTTTATACAGTAAAGGATGATAGTTTTAGATTTGTTTGTGCAGTAAAGTATGATAGTTTTAGATTTGTTTGTGCAGTAAAGTATGATAGTTTTAGATTTGTTTTTGTAGTAAAGGATGATAGTTTTAGAATTGATTGTACAGTAAAGAATGATAGTTTTAGATTTGTTTATACAGTAAAGAATGCTAGTTTTAGATTTGTTTGTGCAATAAATGATGATAGTTTTAGAATTGATTGTGCAGTAAAGGATGATAGTTTTTGAAAATATTGTACAGTAAAGAATGATAGTTTTAGATTTGTTTATACAGTAAAGGATGATAGTTTTAGAATTGATTGTGCAGTAAAGAATGATAGTTTTAGAATTGATTGTGCTGTAAAGGATGATAGTTTTAGATTTGTTTATACAGTAAAGGATGATAGTTTTAGAATTGATTGTGCAGTAAAGGATGATAGTTTTAGATTTGTTTGTGCAGTAAAGGATGATAGTTTTAGAATTGATTGTGCAGTAAAGGATGATAGTTTTAGATTTGTTTGTGCAGTAAAGGATGATAGTTTTAGATTTGTTTGTTTACAGTTTCTCACAACACAGAGCTTGGAATACAGATGTGGGTTATTATTTTAAAAGTGACTGATAGTTCTGTATTTGTTTGTGTACTAAAACCCAACTCTACAGTTTTAGTTTGTTTGTTATGAATTTCACGCAAAGCTACACGA